ATACCATTTCCATTCATGAAAGTGAAGAGAAGGACACTTTTGGAAAGAGGTCCAGATTCCTGAAGGACCCTAAGGTGGCTGAATTGTGCAGATAGAAATAGCAACGGCTACTGCCATCCAAGTAGGTTCTCCTCATCTTTGGGGAGGATGGGGTGCTGGGTTTGCAAAGACCCAGTGCTGGCATTCTGTTACCTGGGGCACGGCTGGTCCAGGTGACCCAGTGTGAATCCCAGTACTGCAAAGGGTGACTGCACCTCCCAGGCATCACAGACAGGTGTGATCTGTGGAGTTTGTTCAACAGTCGCAAGCTGGTTATTACTTGTTCATCGTGCAGATCTTCGCATTGCACCTACATGGCTTAACACACAGCCAAACAGAGTAAACGGTTTCCTCTGCGGATGTCTGTCGTTCTTGCCTGATTCCAGCCACCGTAGTCTTCTGGACTATGATCTCTGTCTCTGCACTCTGGAAAGAAATAGTGCTCTCTTTAGGGTAACTCTTGGTGCCATAACCAAGAATGCCGTTCCAGGCAGAAATCCAGGGGAGTCAGAGATCACGTCTACTTTTTTTTTTTTTTCTTTTCACCTCTCAGGGATACACTGACAATTACCCAGTGTTCTAAATCAGTGGACTCATATTTTGTTCAACATTCTGCTGGTTGACAGTGTGAGGTAAATCTTTTATTTTGTCATCTCCATAAACTGTTCAGTCCCTCTAGCTTTGCTTTTCCTTTACAAAAAAAAAATCTATTTATTCTCTAAACTTTTTAAAGAATTATTTATTTAATTTTCTTTATTCGTTCATTTATTTTAATTTGACGAGAGAGAGAGAGAGAGAAAGAGAAAGCAATTCACCAGGTCCAGGATTTGAACTGTGGTTGGCCATGTGGGAATGTCCAATGACTTAACCACCACACCACCTGCTGGCTCCTATTTTCTAAAAGTTATCGACTCCTATTAAGACCTTGTTTTTTCAATTATAGGAACATATTTTGCTTTAATTCTTGAATTCTTTCCAAATATTGATCTGCTAAGTCCAACATCTTAGATTTAAGTCAACTGTTGAGTTCATCTGTTTTGCTACTGTTTCTAGAACATATTTCCAAGGTCCTTATTTTGTCTTGTGTTTTTACTTAGTTTTTATTATTTATCTCACAAGTTTCTTAGTAAACAATACACTGTTGAGTACTTGGATTCTGTTGTCCATTTCAGAAGAGTATTAGTTTTTTATTCTTAATAGCTTTGCAGATCATCAAATAAGAAACTGCAACCATTCTTTACTCCCCTATTTGAAACACACATTTAATGTACATATATCTCTAAAGCCTGTGTGTGTGTGTGTGTGTGTGTGTGTGTGTGTGTGTATTTTTTGCTTATTTGCTTGTTTTGTTTTTGATTTTTGCTTTTGTAGAGAGTTTTGTTTGTTTTTGCTATGGTGCACATATGCTCACTGGAGAGACAGAGAGACAGAGAGACAGAGAGTAACCACCCCCCACACACGCACCACACCAGGGAAAATGGCCATGCCGCAATCTTTGCTCCTCCATTCTCCTCTTCGGATCTTGGGCACTTATACACGCACCTGGTGTGAGGTTTTTAAGTTGCTGGGTCCGAGATTCTAACTACTGCTGATAATATGAGTCCAGCAATGTAACCATTACACCATCTGCTGGTCCCAAAGCCTGTATATTTTTATACCAGTGCATGTTTTTTATAGCCTTGTTTATTTTTTATATTTTATTTTTAATATAGTATAATAATATTATTTATCATGTAATGCTTTATTTAATTATGGAATGGTATTAATTGGATATGTCTCATTGGATAAAAGAAAATTTAAAACCATGTTTACTGTGCTCAACTGAGTAAAGAATATTTTAAAATCTTGAGATTAATAATTTCCCTGAATAGAATATCATTTTTAAATATTGATGTGACAGTAGCATATTATATTTCTAAATATTTGACCGATTATCAATCACTTCTACTGAATCTCAAGATATAATAAATGAATACAAACTGGGAAAATGACATCTTTATTTATGTCTTGAACTTTGGCTCTAATCCTTATTGAGTCTAGGCTTTATTTTAGATTAATTCCTTTGGCTAAATTAAAAATAGGCAGATAAGCTTCTTTCTGGGCCTGTATTATATTTGTATGTTTTCCCAACAAGCTTGACAGAAGACATGTGAATATAAACCCACTTTCTCTATTAGATCTTCTTTGGATTAACCCTCAACTCCTCATTTCCTGCTTTATTTCTTCTGAAGTTTTCTTGTCTTCCCAGGAATGGGAAGTGAAACATAGCCCTGGGTTTCCTATAGTTAACTACCATTTACCATATATTGTAGAATAGCTGAAAGACAGCATTTCAAAAGTTCTCAACTGAAAGTAATAATGGAACCAGCAGTTAGCATAATGGCTATGTCCCTGAACTCCCATATAGTCAACTGTGGTTCGAGTCCCAGACTCAATGGCTTAAACTCACGCCAGGCGCACGTGCATGCGTGCCCAAGATCCCTAGAGGAGAAAGGAGGAGAAGGGATTGTGGTGTGGCCATCCCTCCTTGGGGGTGATTTCTCGCTTTCTATCTCTCTGTCTCTCTTTTGTCTTTCTGGTGAGTGCACGTACCCTATAGCAAAAACCTCTCAAAAAGAAAAATTAGTATTAACAAGTGCCTGAGATGATGAGCATGTTAATTGCCCAAATTTGGTCTTACACATTGTTTTCATATACTGAAAAAAATCACACTACCCCATACATATAGGCAGTTATTATATGTCAACTAAAATAATTTTTAAAATATTAGCCTCATGGTAATCACAAGAAAACCAAAAACACAAACAAACAAACAAAAAACTAGAATACTGCTTTGTTTGCTTTTTCTATAGGGTTCAAGTGCCTGCTGGACAGACACAGTGAGGGAAAGTGAGAAATTACCTGGTTTGGGGGGATGGCACACTGCAATTCCTTCTCTTCCATTCTTCTCTCTCTTCCAGTCTCCTCAGGGGATTTTGGGCATGCATGCACATGTGCCCAGCTTGATTTTGAAGCCACTGGGTCTGGGACATGAGCCACCATTGGCCAAGTGGAAGCCCAGCACCTTAACAACTATGCCATCTGCTGGCCCCAAGAAGTAAGACCTTTTATCTCCTATCCTGAAAGAGTGCCTTTATTGTGTTGACAAAATAATGTATATCTGATTATTTAATTTGCCCAAAGCCCATAACGAGGCTATGCCTAGATGTGGAATTACCTTAAATTCATTTTAGTTTTGAGTGTGTCACCACTGAATGTCAGTAAGACTATATTGTGTTAAAATGTGTGGTTGAGATCCTGGATTATAGGTGTGCTGCTTTTGTTCACATATCTCTTCTTATCCTATTAATGATCTTACACTCAAGAATTTACACAGACTACTTGTAACTTATAGGTCTATACTGTAGAAAAAAGTGAAATAGTGTTTACTCTCAGCTAATACAAACAATAGCTGTTACTAATTTGCGTTTGAACTTACATTTTCCTGCATCACAATGTACCATACAGTGACAAAGACAGCGCTTCTAGCTTCTACACAGCAGGAAATCCATGCATGCCCATTGTTGGATTTGAATAAAATAGCCATTGCTGATAGAAAAGATTCAAATTTTATTACTAAAAAGAGTAAATTTTCTATATTATATTATATCTTCCTGTAATTTTCTTTGAGCTAGAATAAATTAAAATAACACAGAGAAAGATATTGAAATTAGTCATGATAAATGATAACTAGACGAAATAAATAATATTTTTTCTGTGTTCAATAGTCTCTGAAATTCTGTCCTAGGGACTTCGGAATATCATTTTTGTATATCAAAGGTTAATTCAACAGTGTTACTAAGTTCATATCATTGAGCTAAAATGAAGCTTCATAATCTAAGGCAAAGTATTTTTTAAAAGTTCAGTGTTTGATAACTATTGCATAAGGTTGAGAAAATGAAAATTGATGAAAAGGGAAGCAGGATATTCTTACCATTCTTGCTAGGCATTAAATAAAAACAAACTTCAAATAAAACATGTAAAGAGTTTTAACATCTTTTTTTTTTTAACTTCTATACTAAGCATTGCAAACCAATAGTCAGAAGAACTCATTTTTTCTGAACCTAAAAGTTGAAACCATGGACTGCACTGTCCCAGATTTGCTTAAAGTTGTTTTTAATATTTTGTAAAACATGAACATGTAGAATATACTTTGTGGACTTGCTTATCGTTGGGCCATCCACTTTTACAAAGAGCTGATAATGGAACATGTTCCCACTCCCATAAATCACATTTCTGTTTCTTCATTCCTTTTTTTTTTTAAACTGATCTTCATACCTGTGACATATAAAATCTCTAATACTGTCAGACTGTTCCTGCTCCTTGCAGTGAATAAAGACTTCCTCTTTGTTGGTCTTCTTCTGTGGGCTTTACTGTCAAACGCTTCTTTCCCATAGAAAAGTCCTAAATCGACTCCATTGTGTATAGAGTAGATTGTAGCAGAGTTGGTTCAGAATACAAGCGCTTAATTATTTCTCCTTCGGTTTAAATTCTGTCTTCCACAGTTACTAATGTTTGGAGTTTAGTTATTTGCACAGGCTAAGCATCAGGTTTTTTCTGTTGGGGAAGTGACTATAACATTATAAGGTTATCAAAGAATAAGATAAAATGATAAGGCAATTAAGATTCATAGCTGGGAAACACTGACCACTCAAAAACAATTAGTAGTTATAATCATTAAGAAAAAACATAATATGTTGTATTTGTTATATGAAGAAAATGATTCTTTTTCTAATGCTAAACATGTTAGCTTTCCACCCAGAGTCTGTGGTGCAGTCAGTAATGTTCTGGACTGCAGTACTGGGAGCCACGTCAACTATGATGTGAATCCCCGGCACTACTGGCCTATACACGCTGGGCATGAATATGTGTCTAAGATCCCCGTGAGCTGGGAAATGGAGACAAGGGAACTTGGTTGCAGCGTTGGCTGAAATTACCTGCGGCTGTGACAGTGGCAGTGGGTACGATTCGAGCCCAAAGTTACTAGGGGCCCCGTTTACCACCTACTGCCTCGCACCCCTACAAGTGCCGCTGCTGCTCATGTACCTGACCTCTGACCTCTGGTCCCTGTTCTCTGACTCTGGCTTCTCTTTATAGAACTCTGGATGGCTTTGAGCCTGAGACCATGTCACCAGGACTGTGGAGGATAGGGGAGGTCTGGCTGTGCTCTGTTTTTAAGCAGAGTTGTTTACCCCCCCCCAAAAAAAAAAAAAAAAAAGAGAAAGGAAAAGAAAAGAAAATAGGAAGAAAGGGGAACTTGGTGTGACCAGGCCCATGGAGAGTGCTCTCTCTCCTCTCTCTCTCTGTCTCTTATGTGCACATAAGCACTCTGTCGCAACAAATGCCAACTACAGGGGCTGGACGGTGGCACAGCAGTAAGATACAAAGTTCTATGAGGCTTACCCATGTGGGAAGGTCCCGGGTTCATGTCTGGAGACCTCCAAGTACTCCAGGCAAGCTCATGTCCAAGGTCAGAGGCCGTCTAAAGGGGAAGTAGATGGCAATGATCAGCCTTCTTGGGAATACTGTTTCTCTGTCTCTCTGTCTTTCTCTATCTTGTGCATGGAAGAGAGAAATAAACTTTTAAAAAGCATTACCTAAAGAGAGCTGCAGGTGATAGTAAAGGCACTGGACTCCCACATGGCCAACCACACTTCAAATTCCGGACCTGGTGACTTGAAACTCATGCGTGTGTATGTGTGTGTGTGTGTGTGTGTGTGTGTGCCCAAAATTTTGAGAGTGGAAGAGAAGAGATTGTGGCATGGTCATCCACCATATCAGGGGTTTGGAGGGTGATTTCTCACTTTTCCTCTCCTGGTCTCTGCCTGTCTCTCTCTAGCAATCTCATGCACCCTATGGCAAAAACCTGAAAATAATTTTAAAAAATATTATCTATGATTTCTGGATATTTTGAGAACTATCGAAACTCTTCATTAGAAAAGGTTACATTTTCTATCACATTGGAAAGAATGAAAAATGCACCTTTAAAGATTTTACATGGACAATGATAAAACAGTAGTTACTGTGACTTCTTTGTGTCACGGTAGTCTGAATGTACTTTTTGAGTGGATGAAGAATAGAGGTTTTAAGTATGTTGATTGCTATTCTGCTTCTACCTCTTATACAACATGTTTTAAATGAGTAAATATTCACTAATGTTCAAAGTTGCCTTCCAGCAACAAATAAGTCCATTTTACTACATAAAGGAAAGATTTTTAAAATTATAAGGTCTTAGAAGGTTTATAATATTAGAACGAAAAGAGAAAATTCTAGAAAGTATTTGGAAAATCTGATGTTTTTTAATAAGGTCTACCAAACGTAGCTTAGGTTTCATGGATAGTGAAGTCCTTGAATATGCTAAACACATCCAAATTTTATCTTTACTTTGTACTTCTTCACTCAGCTTCAGACTCAAACACCCAATTTTGTATGCAACCTCTTCATCCTATTGTTCAATGGGTTGCACAGTCTCGTATTCTTCCTATCATTCACTGATTACTGCCTCTGAACTTTGTTTAAGCTAGAAGTCATTAGATCCCATTGAATTCTTGACATGCTCTCAGCAGCCTATTCAAATCATCACCCAGGGCAAAAGCAAACTCCTTGCATAGTCCCTGAGCTACTACATGATCTACCCAATCCCGTATGCTCATTTCTGCTCTTCTGCTGCTGGCTCTCTGCAGCCCCCCCAGGTATTCAGGGTATGCCAGGAACAGACATTTCCTGTCCATTCAAGGCCTGTTTAAAATCTCTGCTTGGTTCACTCTTGTGCCAGGAAACCCCATGACTGCACACCTCACATGGATTGTTCTTTGTTCCAACCTTGCCTACTCAGTGTGTCTTTCCTGCTCATCTGATTACAGTCTTAACTCCCATTAGAAATTCTCTGTCACTTCCTTTGCTTTGTTTTTCTCCTATCACTAAGCAACTTCCGAGTTAGTTAAAATATATATTGTCTATCTTTCCAGTAGAATATAAATTCTAGGAGAACAGTTCACGTATTGCCTGCTGTGTATCTTGTGGCGGGAAAGGGTAGAAAGCTCCATAAATAGCTGTTTAAGGAGTAAATGCAATCATTTGGAGACAGGACGATGTAGACTCATACAAATTCTGCAGCAATTACCCATTTTCTTCAGAGTTCAGAAAGAAAAAATGAATAATGAGGTCAACATTTTTCAACTAAGACAAGTATGTTTTTGAATGATTATTTATTCAACTTTATTTATTTATTTAAATTTAACCACAGAGGGTGAGAGAGAGAGAGAGAGAAAGTAAGAAAGCAAGCCACCAGGTCCAGGCCTCAAACCGTAGTCAACCATATGGGAGTCCAGACTTTTAACCACTACACTACCTGCCAGCCCCAGGATAAGGTTAAGTGTACAAATTTCTCTCTCTCACCTCTCTCATTATTATTTTGAAATAGAGTTATGTTTGAGTTTATTTCTTCTCTGAAGTAGAGAGACAGTGACAAAAGTAGAGAAAGAGCATCCCAATGGGGTCTTGACATGG